TCAAAGGACTTGATGTTCTCCATATCCAAGAATCCTCAAGCAAGCATGGCCGAGGTGCTAGCTAAGGCAAAGAAGTATATAAATGACGAGGAAGCTCTCCTCTCAAAGGTAAGGAGCTCATCATCGCAGAAAGGAAATGAGGAGGAGAAAAAGAGGGGTCAAAGTCCCAAAAAAGAAAGAGAAAGAAATAGTCTCCAAGAAGAGACAGATCTCCAAGAGAGATAGAGAATATTCTCCAAAAAGGAGGGAAATGTCAGGGATCGTCTAGGTCCCCCACAGCCTGAGTTGCAGTCGAGGTATGCACCTCAGTAGTACACTCCACTCACTGCTATAGTGTCCCAGATCCTGTATGAGGTGCTGAATGAAATTTTTTTAAGATGACCCCCTCAAATGAAGGTAGATCCAATAAAGAGAGATCCCACGAAATACTATGAGTGCCACAGAGACTGTGGCCACCATACTGATGAATGTATTCAACTAAAGAAGGAGATTGAGTTCTTAATCCAAAGGGGGCAACTACGTCACTTTATGTCCATGACAATCAGAATTGAGTTCCAGCACCTCAGCAGCAAGCCCCAGTACATCATCAACAGCCCCAAGGGAAAATCAGAGTAATATCCAAAGGATTTGCAGGAGGAGGGGAGTCCAACTCTGCTAAGAAAGCTCACCTGCATAGGATCAGAGCTGACAAAACATTGGAAGTGCATACTGTATCCAAGACACCACGTTTTGACATACCCATCACTTTCTCAGACTCAGATCTGGAAGGTTGTCAGCATCCTCACGATGATCCCCTGGTTGTAAGAGTGGTTGTTGCCAACAGAACTGTTCATCGAGTACTAATCGACAATGGACGCTCTGCAGACATCATCTTTGGAGAAAGGGTACTACCCCTGGGGTCGATACAACTCATGCTCACAATTGGGGATCATCCCTGTCAAACCTCCACTTCTGTGAAATTCTTGGTAGTTGATGCACTATCATCATATAACATGCTGCTTGGGAGACCTTTCCTCAATGCAATGAGGGCTATACCATCTGTTTACCACTTGGTAATGAAGTTTTCTACGACAAATAGGGTTGGTATGGTTCGAGGAGACCAACGTGTGTGGCATGGGAGTGCGACATGACGTCTGTTAAGAGGAAAGAGGTCGAAAATATTCAACTAGATGAGCTTGACATAAGGGAAGAGCTGGATACTAGACCAACACCATCAGAAGAGATGGAACCAGTCCAGCTTGATGAAGAATTAGAACACCTTGTCTACGTAGGATCTAAGCTAAGCACAGAGATTAAAGATCTTCTCATCCAATTCTTGAAGGAGAATATAGGAGTGTTTGCCTGGAGACAAAAAGATATGACGGGAATCGATCCTTTGGTCATCTTGCACAAGCTCAGTGTGAACCCAACCAGTAAACCCATCAAACAAAAGATGAGAAGTTTTGCCCCAGAGCGGCAGAAGGCCATTATTGAGGAGGTCAGCAAGCTTCTGCAAGCCAAAGCCATTAGAGAAGTAAATTATCTTGCCTAGTTAGCAAACGTGTTCCTTGTTAAGAAGACCACTCAATCGTGTTTGCCCTAAAGACAGCTTCCCTTTACCTAGGATAGATTTGATTATGGATGCCACCGCAGGACATAAGCCCCTGAGCTTCATGGATGCCTTCTCTGGTTACAATCAGATCAGAATGGATCCCAATGACCAGGAAAAGACCTCCTTTGTGATGGAATAGGGGACATACTGCTATCAAGTTATGCCTTTCACACTGAAGAACGCAGGAGCCACTTATCAACACCTGGTAAATTGGATGTTTTAGAGGCAGATCGGGACAACAATAGAGGTATACATCGATGATATGTTAGTAAAATCTTTAAAGGTAGAGTTCCATGTCGAGCACCTAGCAGAGTCGTTTCAGATCCTTAAGGAATACAAAATAAAGCTGAACCCTGCAAAATGTGCCTTTGGAGTATCTGAGGGAAAGTTCCTAGGTTTCATATTCAATAGTAGGGGGATTGAAGCAAATCCAGATAAAGTTAAAGCAGTAATGGATATGAAGCCGCCATCCAACACCAAGGAAGTTCAACGTCTGCTAGGAAGAATAGCATCCTTAAGCCGTTTTGTGTCCAGATCATGCGACAAATGCTAGCCATTCTTTCAAGTCTAAAAAAAGGCATTTCAATGGGATATCCAATGTGAAGAAGCATTCATAGCCTTGAAGGAATATCTGAGCTCTCCCCCTGTTCTGGTTAGCCTCATGGAAGGAGAAATGCTTACCCTCTACTTAGCTATCTCAGACTTTTCAACCAGTGCAACACTAGTAAGAGAGCGAGACAAAGCTCGGAGGGGGGGGGCTGAAGAGAGATACCCAAAGATGAAAAAACTTGTCTTAGCTTTAGTCACAGCTGCTAAAAGACTCAGACCATACTTCCAAGCTCATACTATCGAGGTTTCGACGGATCAGCCAATGAAGCAAGTGCTGCACAAGCCATAGTCTTCGGGAATGTTGGTTAAGTGGGGTATCGAACTCAGTGAGTTTGATATTAGGTACAAACCAATAGTAGCTATCAAGGGACAGATCCTAGCAGATTTTATCACAGAATTCACGACAGAACAACCCACGAAGGTAGTACAATTGGTGCCTGACCTCCCTGCATGGAGGCTCTCAGTAGATGGGGCTGCCAACACGCAGGGCAGTGGTGCTGGCTTAATTCTAACTTCCCCTAATGAGATAGATGTTAAATATGCTCTTAGGTTTGGGTTTAAAGCCTCCAACAACGAGGCCGAATATGAGGTTGTTATAACAGGACTCAGCCTTGCACGCTCGATGGAAGCAGAACAACTTGAGGTCTGTAGTGACTCTAAGCTCATGGTAAAGAAAATTGGGGGATCTTACGAGGCCAAAGGCAAAAAAATGGCTTTTTACCTTAGAAGGGTGCAGGAACTAATTAAGAAATTTGTGCAAGTTACATTCAAACACGTCCCCAGGTCAAAGAATTCATGAGCAGACGCGCTAACAAGGTTAGCAACCACTTTTCAGAAGAACTTGGATAGGTTGATTCCAGTTAAGCACTTAGCAGAACCATATGTAGGAGTTCACGAAGAGGTGCTCCCAGTCCTGAATTTAATAAGTTGGATGGACCCCATCGAGGAAAACCTGCATAATGGAACTCTTCCAACAGACCCTAAGGAGGCAGCCAAACTAAGGGTGAGGTCGGCTAGATTCTCCATCTTGTAGGATAGTTTGTATAAGCGAGGTTTTTTTTACACCTCTCCTAAAGTGTGTGGAAGATGAGGATGCAAACTACATACTTAGAGAAGTTCACGAGGGAGTGTGTAGTAACCATATTGGAGCTCAGGCTTTAGCAGGAAAAATTTTGAGCCAAGGGTATTACTGGCCCACTATGCTCAAAGATGCCACAGACGTGGTTAGGAAGTGTAGGGTCTGCCAACTGCTTGCCAATATTCTTCATTGCCCACCAGAGCTCCTAACAGCGGTAGTAAGCCCTTAGCCATTCCAGCAATGGGGCTTAGATATTCTGGGGCCATTTCCAGTCAGTGTGAGGTAGTGCAAGTTCGCCATTGTTCAGGTAGATTACTTCACCAAATGGGCAGAGGTAGAGCCATTGGCAACAATTACAACGTAAAAAGTGCAAAACTTTGCTTGGAAGTCTATAATCTATAGGTTTGGAATTCCTAGAGCAATCGTCTCCGACAATGAAAGACAGTTTGATGACCCAAAATTCAAAAATTTTTGCGTTGAGTTAGGGATAAAGAATTACTTCTCGGCTCCTGCTCATCCTCAGTCCAATGGGCAAGCGGAAGTCATCGTTCGAACCATAAAGGCAGCCTTGAAGACTAAGCTAGAGGCCCAGAAAGGGAAGTGGGTGGAGCATTTTCCCGAGGTATTATGGGCTTACAGAACTACAACCAGGACAACCACACAAAAAACACCATTTGCATTGGCTTTTGGAACCGAAACTGTCGCCCCTATTGAAATTGGGCTCCCATCTCCCAAGGCCGAGTTCGCAGAGCTAGAGCACAATGATGAGTGACTTTTGCTCAATCTTGATCTTCTTGATGAAAGAAGGGGTAAAGCTCAATAGCGTATAAAAAGTTACCAAAGGAAAACAACTAGGTACTATAACAGAAAGGTAAGGCACAAAAGTTTCAAGGCAGGGAATTTGGTGCTTAGAAAACTTCTACTTGCAAGAAAGGATCCCTCCCATAGAAAGTTGGGTCCTAATTGGGAAGGCCCTTACATCGTATCAAGGATAGTCAGACCTAGAAACTATGAGTTACAAACCAAGGAAGGGAAGATTTTACCTCATTCGTGGAACGCAGAGCACCTTAAAATTTTTTTTTAGTAAGTTCCTCCTATAATAAGGATATTTTCAATAAAACTACAAGTTTTTGATTCATCCCTGTGTAAATCTTTAGATCAGCTCATAAAATAACGATGAGCTCTTCAACTCATAAAATGATGATGAGCTCCTTAGCTCATAGAATAACGATGAGCTCCTCAGCTCATAGATCAACGATAACCACTTCAGCTCATAACATAATGAGCTCTTCAGCTCATAAAACAACGATGAGCTATTCAACTCATAAACTAACGATGAGCTCCTCAGCTCATAAAACAACGATGAACTCCTCAGCTCATAAAACAACGATGAGCTCCTCAGCTCATAAAACAACAATGAACTCTTTAGCTCATAAAAAAATAGAATGTGTTCTCTGGCTTATAAGATTATGATGAGCCTTTCAAACCTTATAATCAGCTCACTAGATATTCCAAACTCGTTTGCCTCGAGGAGATCTGAAGGACCCCTCGAAGCAAGGGGGCAAGGGGAAGATAAAGCAAATCAAACAATGGAATTTTCAAATCTACTTCAAATGTTCAAGCGTCAAACATTGGCATCAATATTGCATTTAAAAATGGAAGTTCTGGCCTTAAAAAAAAAAAAAAAAAGAGCTCTATGTCTGTACAGGAAAAGAAGAAATCCTATGTCCTAGTAGGAGCAGGAGGAAAGGAGCTTGTTAGCTCAGCAGCTGACTCTTCAAGTAGAACAACAGATAAAGTCCCTGGCAAACCAGTAGAAGAAATCACAGGAAGACCAAAAATAGGGACCTTGATTCCCACTCTTGGCGAACTTTGGGCGAGAGCTCTAGTCACGAAGTCTGCGAGGAAAGGAATAACGGGAGAGGCAGTGGAAGAGCTGATGGAGAGCTCAGGAGTTACTTGAACAGGAGCAATTTCTGAGGTAAGAACCGCTGGAACAACCAGAGAAGGAGAAGCGCTTAGAGTTGGGAGGATCGAAGCATCACCAGAGGGAATCTTAGAGACCGCATCTGTATCCTCTACATTGGCCTCCTCCTCCTCCTCCTTTTGAGGAGGAATCTCAAAATCAAAGCTCAGGTCGGGATACGCCTCTTCAACTTAATCTTGGAAGGCAAGCCATCCGGAGGCCCACTTGATTGTAACATCATCCATTAGCTTGAGAACAAGGGCATCTTTTTCCTTCACCACAGCCTTCTGCACCTCGAGCTCATTTCGGAGAGTATCGCTCACCTCAGCCAGGACATCGTACTCCCTTTTCATGTTCTTGTAAGACCTTAAAGCATTGAATGTCTCTTGGCTAGCTTTGACCTAGGCATCTGTCTTAAGTTTAAGCTTTTCCTGGATCCTCTTTTCGTTCGCTTCTAAGCTCCTGATGGTCGAAGCTTGCTTTTTCACCTGCATTTGCAAGTCTTGGATTTGGGTTTGGAGGTCATGATTGGCGAAGGCCAACTCGGCACATTTGAGCTCGAATGCCTTTGAAGCTTTGGCGGAGCTCTCCAAATCTTGGATTCGACTTGACAATCCCTTCGCATAGATGGCCAACTGGGGGCAGAGGCAACTAGGATCGAAAGTCAGCATAGAACGACCACCAAAAATGGAGATAAGAAATGAGGTCTTACAACAGTAGCTCCATGCAAAGCTGCGTTGATGGAGTTTTCAAGAGGCATTGCAGTAGCCCTCCAAACGTCGAAAAAGGGAAGGATGGAATCAAGAGCACCAGCGGCGAGCTCGACGTTGTCTAGGAAAGAGCCATCATTCCCCTCTTCTTTGGCATACTTCCTTTTCTCAGTCTTGTAGCTGGTCCGGGATGGTAGTGGAGGCTTCTCAGGTAGCCCAGAAGAATCAGAGCTAGGCAAAACTCGAGTCATCGTCTCCAAAGCCCTCTCGATATCGACTGAAGTGGGAGAGGTTAGGCCACGCTCAGAAACCTCTCCTGAAGTATGTGAGAGTCTTTGGAGAGAAGAGACCTCTGCAAGTTGCAAAACGCTCAGTGGTGGAATAAGCGTCACTTGAGCTGAGGTAGGAGAAACAAAAGACACACCTAGCTTGGGCGCCTTAGCTTGACGAGGGATATTGCTACCAGAGCCAACTTCGCCTTTACGCTTGGCCCCACTCCTGCTCTTCTTTAGCAAAGCGACCTTAGCCTCAAGCACTTCTTGGGAAGGCTACATTGCGGAAGAACCTGGAAGCACATAATAAGTAAAAAAGAGAGGAGAAAAAGAAAGAAGAGAAGAGCAAGAAGCAAAAGGGCCTAAAGGTGGGAAAAGGGAGACTTGTCTGCCACCTCGTCAGTACTGATAGCAGAAAGGGGAATGGGGTTCTCAATCCTCACCTCGAGCGGACTGAATCCAAGCTTTACAAGAACTTGAGGCTTGATAAGCTCTGAATATTTTTCTAAGTCGCAGTTTGCCAAATTCCTTAAAACCAGCTCATCTGTAACACTGAGTTTTGGTCTGATGCCTGAAAAACGAAACTAGCGGAATAAGGTCAGCCAAGAAAGACACTAAAGTTTATCCTAACTTACACAGCAAAAGGCTCACCCAAGTTGTCAGGGGCAGACCAGCCTCGAGGAAGTGGAAGAGTATCTATCACATTGGTGGAATTGAACTCCCAGTCTCTCCCCTACATGAAAAAGAAGAATTTTTTCCAACCTTTGTGAGAGCTTGGTAGGTCGGAGATAAGAACTTTGATTTTCACGCGCTTGGAGATATACAAAAAACCATCAGAAGGGGTGTACTTAACGTTGAAAAACCTCATGAGCAAAGGTACGGGAGGAACCCCAAGTTTCTGTTTTTTGAAGAAAACAAGGAGGCCCACCAACACACCCCAGAAGTTAGGAGAGAGCTGGGCAGGACAGACATTGAAATGCTACAACACACTCTTGGTAAAGGGGTGCGTGGGAAAGCGGAGGCCATTCTCAAAAGTGGCCATGAAGAAACAGACCTTCTTGGGGATGGAAGAGTTATATCGGGTGAACATGTCTGAACTCCAGAACTGCACTCCTTGAGGAAAGCCAAAGCGAGCAACTAGAACCTTCAAGTAAGAAGGAACGAGGTCACTAGAACCCATGAGCTCAGCAGCCTTGGGAGAAGCACCTCCGCCTTCAGCATTGTCGAAGATCCCTACACCGCTCACCTTGGTTTTGCCCTTGCTAAGGGCTTTAGGAGCATGGGAGGATGGAAAAGGAGGCTCCTTAGAATCTCCCCCGATGTCGACAGAATCCACGCCGAAAAAATTATCAATTTCCTACCCCACATCTCCCAGATTGGAGTCCTCCTCAGCGGACTTATCCCTCATTAGAGAGATGGAAGAACCCGTGGCTTCAAAGGAAGTGGACATAACTGGGTAAGAGAAAGAAAGTTTAAAGGACCTATAAAGTGGGGGAACCTCTAAGAAACACTCTCTGAGAGTCAGGGGCAAGACTCAAACGACCAATAATAAAAAACCTAGCCGTAGAGTAAGGATCCAGAAAGAGAAGGATACAAGACAGGGAGAGGTTTCAATTCCTAAAATAGCAGAATCGAAAAGTCCAAAAATGCAATAGCCACCTCAAATTTGAGGGATCCAGAATGAGGAACTAGGAAAGGGATGAAAGACGTACCTAAACGAGAACCAACGATGGATTAAAGCTCAAGAACAAAGTCCGAAACCAAGCTACGCTAAGCCTTCAGGTCAAATTAAGGGAAATCGTCTCTCTGGGAAACCCTAAGGACGATGGTAAGTTGGGGAAGATGAAGTCGCAAGAAAGTAAAGAAGAAGAACCAGCGAGAATTCGAAAGAGTGAGGAGGGAACCATTGATCCAGGAAGCATTTAAAGCTAACGGTATAAGGGGTTTCGAAGTGGGCAACGTGCACGAGAAACGAGAAGAGAAATGATTATTGGTAACCGTCAAAAATTTGTCTACATGAACATCTAGGTCACCAAATGGGGGATTAATCTGTTCCAATTTAAGTTCAGCCCTTGCTCAAGCTTGCTTGAACCAAGAGCTGGGGGGCAACTGATGATATGCGAATAAGAAATTTAACCAAGTATGAGCTCAGGAAGCGAGGTCAAATGGGGAGCTCAGAGCTTTGAAGCCCAAGTCTCGAGCTCCTCTCTTATGAAAAAATTAGAGGAGTCAAGGAAAGAACAACTAGTCAGGAAGAAACGTCCGCAGAACAGCTAAAGGGCAGTGATCAAGATGTGAAACTCTCAACCACCCAAGATCCCCTCCTAAAATCAAGGAAAGTCCCGCGGATGAAGAGCAAGGATCTCACTGTCGATCCCTTAGAGATACAAATTGTGATATAAATACTATACAGTGCCCCCTGGAGAGACAAAAAAAAAAGTCGAATACCATAAAAAATACTCTGTAAGTCATATCTACGGTGAATAAAGATAAAAAGAGCAAGAGACTTCCTTGAAGAGTAAATTAACCGAGCTCTCAAGTCGGTGAACCACTGTAATTGCACTGTGTTTTGCTTCCAAGATTCCTTAGAAACCCTGTCATTTTTTGCACGAGCCTTGTAGCTCAAGTCCACAGTTGTTTGTATGATTCACGAGTTCTGCTCATCTCTTTGACCACACCATCATATATCATAATTAATATGAATATAGAAAAGAATAGTTAATTTCAGTTTTCTTTGCTAGTTGTACTACATCGTTGGAGGAACTATTACTGTTGTATGGCTGCCTGATCATGAAGTACTTTGGTTGTTTTTGGATGCAAATAATACGGACACCACTCAGCAAGCTCTTAACAACAATATAATAGCGTAAATCTTGAGCATCATATACTATGACTTCAGGGTGATTAACGGCACAAAAAGTTTTGTCAAGAATTTAGAAGAGAAGCTTCTGGTGGGGGACTGAATATTTGTCGAATTTTGGGCATGGATGGATGAGGGGAATTTTTCTAGTATTCTGTAGGTTCTGAATGAACTTTTCTGTCATTCAACTTCAAATGCCAGCCATATTGCTACAACTTCCAAACCTATTAAACATCCATTGAAGTGACCAGTAGGTTGCCTTATCCTACTTGTCCTTAGTGGCCCTTACCACCAGGTGCCACTCCAACTTCTTTTAACGTCTCAAGATCCCTTGAGCTTCGACAATAAAAATGAAACATCCATTGATTTAGAGAAGACTCAGCTAGTATATTTGTTTAAGAGCAGGCTATACGTGATTTTATTTTGCTTTCAGTGGCACAACTCTAATAAAGAATCAAAGTCCAATTAGATTGAGCAATATTATGACAACAAATTCAACATATATAACAACCAACATGACTTGTCATCTATGAAGCACGGATACAAATACGAAATACGGGTATGATACGATACGGATACGACGATACGACAAATCTAAAAAAGAAGGATACGAGTACGGTCTAGATAGGGCTATAATAAAATAAATTCAATATTTTTATTATTTTCAATCAACATAATACTTATATATTTTGATAGTTCTTTAACACAATAAGAAAAATTTGTAATTCTTTTTAGTTTCAAGAAAATATATATCGCATCACTATGGTATATTCACAAAGTGAAGTGATTAATTAAAGGAATCAAAGCTAACATTAACCGAGTCGGTTTATTTAGAACTGATTTTTGCTAAAGCTATAATGTAATATATTTATTTTATGCTCTTTTGATATGTAATTGTAGATAATACTTAAAACATACTCATGTGTCTTTGAAGTAGTATGAATTTTTGTAAATATATTGTGTGGTATGTGAATTCGAAAAGAAATATTAAAAATTCGACTCAAAATTTATATATATTGCTTGAACACAAAAGTATCTGTGAAGTATCATAATATTTAATTATTATCGGATACGTAGGAGGAATATCCGATACGTGTCTTTGAGTATTCGACGAGTACTGTATCCGATAAAGTATTTGATACGAATACACCGATCTCAATGAAGTATCCGTGCTTTATAGTTT